TATATATATATATATATATATATATATATACATACATATATATGGACTCGAATTATGTCGTCATTAAAAATTTTGATCTTTTGTTTTTGAAATTTTTTCTCTCTCCTAAATTACTATTTCTACAGTCATTTTGCTTGACATCTCAATAATTCTTAATCCTCAAATCATTTGTCCATTAATATAAGACATTGGATCTATTGTGCAAAACTCTATTTTGCATGAAAATTGTAGGTAGTTGGTTGATGGCTCTTTAGATTAACTTTTATGTTTTGTTCAATCATGAGAATTTCATCATCAATAATCGTTGTAACTTTTCAGGGTGACTCATCCGACCACATTTTTCATAAAATTGTGTGCTTCCCTGCGTTATGGAATTTTTAATATCATTAATAAATCGGCTGTTAGAGTTTGTTTTTTAAAATTAGGTTATAGTAATTATTGCATTAGAGATTTTTCTTTTTTTCGTTCTTGTCAATTAGTAACACTACACTACTCAAGAATGAATTAAGATTTATACATCTTAAGGGATTCTAATGTTAATGGGTAAATTAAGAGAAAAGTAATTGCAGCATAATTCTCCTCTTGCGTCCATAATTATTTTATGGATTTTGAGTACGTTGTTGCCGGAAGATAATTTGTATAAATTCGACAGGCTAATATTCTGTCAATAATGTTATCCATATACAAATTGGATCTGGATTAAGGCGATTAAGCAAAAAAATATTCACTTTAAATTGTACTATGCGAATATAATGGAATTTAGGGTACATTTGGGGCAGCTTATTTGATGCGTTGGCGTTTTGAAAACGCACCTGGACTGTTTGGGTAAATTGCGTTTTGGCAGCTTATGTGTTTTGAAAACACTGAAGACAGTGTTTTCACACTGCATCTAGCTAGGTGCGGTGACAGCTTTCTGACAGCGGCTTCGCTTTTCCAAAAAAATATAAAATTCTAATAGTCACCGCATCTAGTTTATCAGCAGATTATTTTTAATCAGCTTATCAGCTGATTATTCAATCAGCTGCAGTTGCCCCAAACAGACCCTTAGTATCTTTATTTGGCAACAAATCACTATGTAGTCTGCACATGATTAGCTTTATGTTTCGGCTAAATTATGGTTTCACACCTAGCTTAAAATGAGATATGTGAGAGAATATGACCAAAAATGAAGTTTTTTTTAAGGTATTATTATCAATAATTCTTACAGTGTCCGTTTACATTTACATGAGTACTATGGCAATGAAACCGTAGGCTATACAGTAAAATGGAATTAAAAAAATTGCACTTTGACCTTTTCCCGTTTTACAACTAATATTATAAAAACAAGATTCTGGAATATGATGAAATGATGGCTGGATTTCATGATGAAGTTGTACTAGATTATATTTTAGAAATATGAGTCTGTAGGAAACTAGAAGAAAGTAAGAAAGATACAAGAATTATGAAAGATTTTGCAGTTTTCCATGAGAAAATTTTCTATATGGAAGATTTACATTGATTGAATGTGTCCACCCTTTTTCTTTGCTAGTTCTTGTATTAATTGCGAGATACTCCTTTATTTTTTAAGTTATGGTGAACCCGTTAAGGATTAATTAAGAGGTTTCTTTGCTTTGAACCAGTAGTCTAATCACCTCTGATTTTTTTTTAATGTGAGTATGTGTGTTGCAGTCTATATATGGGTATGAATTGTATACTAATTTCTTTCATGTGTTGGGAGAAATTATACTTCATTTTTATAGTTACCTATTCGATTGCAAATGGTAAAAAATTATATCAACAATGGTTTGTTGTTTTTTTTTTGCTTTGAAACTGAAGCTATTAATCATGGATAGATCTTTTTAAAATTTTAGAGGTAAAGGATATTTTTTTCCTTTAAATTTTAAGGTGATTCCTGAAGAAAATTTGATGACAAACATCAAGCAAAAGTTCTTGATTTGTATCTTATAAGTCAAAGAGGGATAGTGAGAAGCTAAGCTATAAATGATAATCCTATTTCATATGTTATTTAAGAGAGTCAAATAGAAAATCTTAAGTTAAACCAAATGTGTAATAAAATTAAGAATTAAAATGACTTTTATTGAAGTCATTCAAGAGTTTATAGGCAGATTGTTTATAATGAGATTGGTGGTGTAGTAAGGTGGATAAAAAATTTGCAAGGATGGTAGTTTAGGAATATGAAAATGAGATATTAAGTAGTCAAGGCAAATAAGATGTCATCCACTAATTTTGACCAATGAGTTGTATCAAGAGTTAAAATGGTTGGATTAAAGATGAAGATATTAAAATAAAAAAATAAAAACATTATTTGTTGGTAAATGTATAGAGTTTTAAAGAAGAATTTGTAAAGTAGAGTTAAATAAAAAAATAAGTGTTGTGTTTGTAAAAATTGAAATTGATTTAACTTTGAATTAGTTGTTAGAAAGATAATTTTGATGAGAATCCAATTGAGATTGCAATTACTATGAGGTATGTTTAGGCAATCCAAAGATGAAATATTAGACTGATGGGGGAATTTTCTGAAGATAAGCAACTTAAATATATTTGAATACATGATATGAATTTATACTTGAACGTGAAATAAATAATTTTTAGTTTGGAAGATCAAGTGATGATTATGTGTGGTAAGTTTAAGTGTAATATATAGATCAAGGCATAACTTGTGATAATGTTAATTGAAATGAAGTGCCTCAAGGGTTATGAGATTAAGTAATATTACATAGACTTGGGAAAAAAAATTATAGAATTGCAAGTATATTGACTATGCTATAACAGGATCAAGTGTTGGGCCATAAAGAAGTTTAGTTGTGATATAAATGAGTTTAATTGATTATTAGTGATTGTCAAACTGGGTTGGTATAAATGAGAATGTTAAAATGATTTATTGACATAAATGTTCACATTATATTCTAAATGCCATCCTCTTTTGCCGTCCACTGTGGATTATCTAGTTATAGATTTGCATTCAATCACAACTGATGATCAAGTTTTGGTGGTTTTGCTTCACCACACTCTTGGAGTTGCAGGCAATTGTACTTTTAGCTGCAAAGCCTTGGTTGTGCTTTATTCATAATTTCAAGCTATTGGAGTAGGTGATTTAACCAAGTGATTCTAGTCCAAAATGTATCGGAGTAGTTCATGGTTTTGTATCATCGGTGATATCTTTGGGTGTCTAAAAGGAGAGAATAACAAAGGATTATCAAGCGAATATGATAATAATTATAGTCTCTTGTGTCCACGATGGAAGGGTGTGTCATACAACTGCATTTGATCACAATTGATGATCGAGTCAGGGTCGTGTAGATTCTCTATGCTTGTGGGTTTGCAGGTGGCTGGACCTTTGGCTTTAAAGCCCTTGTTGCGTCTTCCTCTTCACTTTTGGGATTGGAAGATTTACATACATACCACTCAATTCTTGAACTAACACCTAAGCTTCAATTTTCACATGCACACATTAACTGTGTATTAAAAAGTGTATTTAACTTTTTTAAAGTTAAATGATGGTATTTTTAATGTGATATGAAAGATTTGGGTGTATAAGTCTAGCAAGTTTAGATGTTAAATAGGTAAATACATAGGAATTGGGTGGTGTGTATGTAAATGCGCCTTTGGGATTTGGGTGTATCCTACATCATTTTGTGGTAAAGTTGGGGATGAAATTCCGAGAAAATGAATTTATTATTTAGCCTTTAGTGAACAGAAATTTTTGAATATAACTGGTATTTTGGGTGTATTCAATTGATTGACGAAGATGCAATGTAAGAATATAATTGTATTTTGGGCATTTTCAATTGATGGAAGAAGATGCATTGATAAGAAGAAGTGATAGAATCAATGTGGCGTCTTCAAAAGAAAACGGTGTAATTAATGATAACATGGTTAAAATTTGTGCCAAAGTTGTCTTCAATAGATTTAACACCATGTAGCAATGAATCAGAATTGATAGAAAATTCATCGAGCGGACACTAAACATTCTGCATTAGGCTAATAATGAAGAGATTATTTGAACCCACGAAAATTAATTTAGTGCTTTAAAATAACAAAAACCGACTCGTCTACCTGGAGAGCCTAATTCCATTGATCATGGTAGACGAGTCTAATTACATGGATCATGAATTGCCTCATACAGCTTCAGTTTAGCCTAGCATGGTCTCTGTCATTTCCTAATCCTTCTTATTACTTACAAATGAAAATTTCATTGTAAGCATCTAACCAAAGTTGGAAATTGATATTTTGTTGCATAAACATTTTTGTCTTAGTTGGTCTAAATCATTTAAAATAATTTTTCACTATTGATCGGTATTTATTTTCCAACAAAAGTTTGACTCGGATCATTCCTTTCGTCCTATTGTAGTGAAGCTATTGGACTGGGGGGAAGATGGCTATGCCACCGAAGCTGAAACGGTTGCTCTCAGGGCATCGTTCGAGAAAGAGGTTGCTGTGTGGCATAAGCTTAACCATTCAAATGTTACAAAAGTAAGCTTTCTTATGGACATATCTAAATTGGCATAAGATATCCTTTAAATAAGCCATATGAACGTTGATAAGACTTTTCAAAACCTGGTTGTAATATTTTGTTTTTATTTTTGGTTTTTCCTCCATCATTTTAACTCCCTTATTTTATTCACAATCCAAATGATAATTTATCTTTGCTTTAGTTTGTTGGTGCATCTATGGGAACTAGCGAGCTCAAAATCCCACAAAAAAAATCACAGAACAGCGGCGAAAATTCCCTCCCTGCTCGAGCCTGCTGTGTTGTTGTAGAGTATCTTGCCGGGGGAACATTGAAGACATTCTTGATTAAAAACAGCCGAAAGAAGCTTGCCTACAAAGCTGTAATCCAATTAGCATTAGATTTATCCAGAGGGTGAGTGCTCTAGTATTCTAAATATTGCACTTATAATGTGATATCTTAAAGGGTAAAGTGTCAAAATAGTCCCTTGACCATTTACACGGAGTCATTTGAGTCTATAAAAGTGTCAAATTAGTCTCTGGACTCCTTAAATTGGGGTTAAAATAGTCCTACATTAAGATTATTTCAGCCCATATTAAAAGACTCTAAAAACTAAATGACACTCTGTAAAGAGTTAGGGGACTATTTTGACACTTCTCTCAAATCTTAAATGATAATCTTCAGCATAACTATTTGACTTGTAGGTTGAGTTATCTGCATTCACAGAAGATAGTTCATCGCGATGTCAAAACTGAAAATATGTTGTTGGACACCCAAAGAAACCTTAAAATTGCGGATTTTGGCGTTGCTCGTGTCGAGGCACAAAACCCCAAGGATATGACCGGTGAGACCGGTACCCTCGGCTACATGGCTCCGGAGGTGTGTATTTGCTAAGTTTGTTCTGCAAGCTTTGTTCCACAAGCCTATCCTTACTTTAAGCCTTCTTGATGAATATTTATGAAATTTCTATTGTGTAGGTCCTTGATGGTAAACCCTACAACAGAAAATGTGATGTATACAGCTTCAGCATATGTTTGTGGGAGATTTACTGCTGTGACATGCCATATCCTAATTTAAGCTTTGTTGAAATCTCTTCCGCCGTTGTTAGGCAGGTTAGTGTTCAAATTTTCGCTACCAAATATTTCCATTTACTCAAAACCCTTCAAAATAAATTTATGCATATGACCTTCTCTTGCGCAAATCTTACCATTATTGCTCAATATGTCAAATTGGCACTTGAGATCATCATTTAAATTTTTTTAGAAACAAATGATATATTTATAATCTGTGACATTTACATAAAAAATATTTACAGATCGAATGCCTATACTTTTTGCATCAAAAATTTCACCATCATGACTTTTAAAAAGCGAAATACACCTTGTCATGTATTCGATAAGACGGCATATATATATATATTCAAAATTGAAGTTCAGGTTTTAGATATATAAATGCATAGGAACTGAGTGGCATCCATATAAATCTTCTATAAAATTTGGTCAAACAGAACTTGAGACCGGAGATCCCTCGCTGCTGCCCGAGTGCATTGGCGAACATTATGCGAAGATGTTGGGACCCAAATCCTGATAAGAGGCCCGAAATGGACGAGGTTGTAAAGCTTTTGGAGGCGATCGACACGAGCAAAGGAGGCGGTATGATTCCCGACGACCAAGTTACCAAATGCTTATGCTTCTTATTTCCAACACGCGGCCCTTAACCTGTTCTTCACCTTAACAAACATGTTTTTTCTCTCCTTCCTCTGCCCCTCCATTTTCTTTTTGTGTGTACATTAGATTTTTTTTTTAAATGAATGTTGACGATTTTTTCAGTCTTATACGATATCATTGTCCTTCTCTTTTCTTTTTATGTTTTAAATATTGCTCCTTGTCTTCTTGATATTCTTTATTGAAGGTGATTAGGGTTACTTTTACATGCATGTTGTTAAACTCAATTTTTTTCATTAATGAACTTTATGATCTATATATAGTTGCTTTGAGATGTGTTTAATACATGATTAATTAATCATATTGATGGTCATAAAGTTCTTTATGATTAAATTTGGGTGAGGAAATATTAAACTAAAATTTGATTTTTATTTTTATTTAAAAAAGAAATTAAAAATTTTGTAGAATACCCAAATCAATTATTGGATGTTTTTTTAAAAAATAATCATATTTTATATAATTATATTTTATGCAACTGACTTCAAAATCATCATCACTTATATACATACATACCCCACAGTTCCTATGTATTTACATATCTAGCACCTATACTTTGCCTTTTTTACATTTGTACCATAAAAAATACCAATATTTTAACTTTTAAGTAAGATATGCCTTTTCAAGCATGCAAAAATTGAAGTTTAGGTGTAAGATATGTAAATGCATAAGAATTGAATGGCATGTGTGTAAATCTTCCATTTCTTATTCTCGGTTTTAAATGATGATAGAGGTAATTTGTCAGTATACTCTTTTGTGGAAACTGCACCGTATCATATAAAAATGGGTATTTTAGGTTAGACAACATAATCTTAGTGATATTTTTGATGTAATGTTAAAAGAGTTAGGTGCTATGCAAAAATATTAGATATGTAAATATATATAAATTTTGTGGTGTCTATGTGAAATCTCGCTCCTTGCAGGATTTGTTCTTGATTGCATCCTAACTAGGGCCGTAAACAAGCCTAGCTTGAGCGAGCTCAGGCTAGGCTCGTATTCGACTCGTTCGAAATTGGCTCGTGTTCAAAATTAGTTCGTGAACAGTGTGTTCATGTTCGACTCGATTTAAATGTTCGTGTTCGTGTTTGACTCGTGTTCAACTTGAAATTGGCTCGTTCACATTAAACTGAAAAAATAGATATAGTGTTGGATTCGAACTTGAGCTAAATATATGCAAAACGCTTAACTACATTATCACATTGGCAATTATGATTTAAATTTAGATATAAATATATATAATATATTATTATATAAATAATATATGTAATATATTATTATATAAAAGTTATATAATTTTTTTTTATTTCAAGCTAAAATGAGTCGAACATGAGCGAACAACTCGTGTTCGGCTCGTTTATAATTCGAGCTTTAAAAAATTTGTTCATGTTCGGCTCGCTTAATGAACGAGTCGAGCACGAGATATTTAGCGAGCCGAACACGAGCTATTCACAAACAACTAGCTTTTTTTGACAGCCCTAATCCTAACACATCAAAACTGCTGACTCATTTAAATTAAGGGCTCATCGTTGAAGAAAATAAAGAAAAAAGAAGGAAATTAAGGAAGTGGCATGCCACTTGCGCCATTTGTCACCATTTTTATGGGCATTTACATATATACCAGTTAAGCTTGCTTATTTACATATCTAACGCCAAACTTTTTTTTTTTACATTTGTACCAACCAAATCCTTTATATTACATAAAAAAATACCAAAAAAAAAAAAAAAAACTTTTAAAAATTTAAATACAGCTTTTCATGCTTGGGTAAGGTGATATGTACGTAAATGTTGAGGTTTAGGTGTGAATTGGTAAATACATAGGAGCCGAGTGGTTTTTATGTAAATCTTCATTTGTGGAAGCATTTCATTATGTTTATTGGACCGCTAGCATATCTATAAGTCTTCAAATCTTTTGTTTTTACATATTGACCACCTAACTTTTCAAATTTACATACATAGCACATCAATATCACATAAAAAATATCACTATTGCAAACTTTTAAAAGTGAAATACACATTTTCATATATAAATATCAAATTTATATGCATTTATATTTTCATTTTTTTAATTATTTGTGGTGAGAAATAATTATTTTGTATTTTTTCATTTTAATTTATAATAACTATAACAGTTTTCAGATAAAATATTTCTTCGTTACATTTTTGAAATTATTTTTACAAAGCAAATGGACCCTCAAGACTGTCAGTATCGCCATTCTTTGCCTGAGTTGGGAAGACAGAACATGTGTTTTTACATAAATATTTGCAACAGATTGGGTTAGTATATTCGTGATTGGGTTAGTGTAGTTTTACGGACGTACAAGAATAGAGAGAGTTGTCTTAGATGGTTTGCTCACATTAAATGTGAACAATCTGATGATCCGGTTAGGATAGACTTAAAAAGACTTGGGCATCTTGTATAAAAAATGATCTTAATTTATTAGAATTAAATGAAAATATAACACTCAATATGATGCAATGGAGAAAAAAGAGTCATGGAGTTGACCCCACTTAGGGGGATAAAGGCTTTTTGTTGTTATTTTATAAATACATAATTCTTTGTAATGCATATTTTTGTAAAGGAAAAACAATGGAGTTAGACCCAGTTGAAGAGATTCACTATAAACAGAAGATTACAAGTACATTCCCTCCTCCCACAGTCGATAAAAGGGCTTCACATTCTTTAGAGCTACAACGTCGATGTGCGGATGAACTTGTTGTAAGAAGCGGACAACGAACAACAGTGACTGGCGATCGATGATGATTGGTGACAGTCGATGAGTGAATGTTGATGACGGTGAGCGATCAGTGGTCGGCGGCGAACGACGAAAATGTGATATTGTACTTCAGTTCATTTTCTAAGCTTCAAAATTTTCTTCTGGCTTCAAGCTCGTTTCCCTCATGAGTGGGGTGAGTTCTATTTGTAGAGTCTCAATTGCAATTAATAAATGAATATGAGCCACTCTGATGAGATGAATCAGATCAGATGGCCTAAAGAGATTCCATTAATCGGATTTCGTTTAATGGATATTTGAGTGCTTTAAGAATATCAGAATTAAGCGATATTGGGCTCATTGAATTCGTCTTGTTGAGACGCTCGATTGAATACAAGCTCATCGAATTCAACATCCGTTTGACCTTTCAAGTATGCTCGAAAAGTTTTAAAATAGTTTAATGGCTTGATCTGAGCTTGATTTGACTCAAATTGAACCAATTTTGGTATCATTTGGTCCATCTCGTTAAGTCTGCCAGTTTGAATATAATTTTGCTGGAATTGTAATTACGGATGTCTTTTCATCAAAATTTTAATATTTTTTGCTCTAAAGATTTTCTCGAGATTTGTTAGGTATGACTTATATACCATAAATGGGATAGATGCTGGAACGGAGCCCACGAGTGGAGTGGAGCGTAAGGATCTGTCCAATCGAGGGAGTCATTATGTGGGTTGGGGGTGCGGGAGCAACACCCCGCGGTTTGGTACAAGGGTAATTTAAGTAATTACATATTGTACTATAAAGTTACATACATGTCTTCTTATAACCCTAGAAAACCCTAGTATACAATATGTAATTACCAAATTACCCATGTACTTCACCCCCAATCCACATAAGACGAAGCCAATGCGGTTCGCTGCAGGTTGTTTGCCGAAAGAGACTCAAGGAATCTTCCATCTCCACCAGAGGGAATATTCCCTCTAAAACAAGGGAGGAGTTCACTGCACACGGGAATTTGCGGAAGGAGTTTAGCGCGGGAGTTTCGCTCCGATGCAGACATTCGTGCGGGAGGCGTTCGCAGGATTTGGTTCGGAGGGAGCGGTGGAGGAGCAGAATTGGAAGGACGAATGCGGGAAAAGGAAATTCATTGGGAAAATGAAAGTCCGCAGAGAAGAAAATTTAGTGCGGAGATATTCTGGAGATATTCCAGGACTCAGGAAAGGCAATGAACAGGAATCTGCTGCTGTACTCGGGAAATGAAAGATTTCTTTCTGGAATGAAAGCGGAGGTGGAGATTTTCTGGAAGGAAAGCGGAAAGGAAGCTTTTTTGAGAGGGAAAACAAAGCTTTTCTAGAAAGAAAAAAAGAGTTTTGTTGGAAAGCGAAGACGGAGCTTTTCTTTGAAGTTTAAGGAAAATGACTTCTGAGAAAGTTTAATTAAGGAAAAGTCCTTTTATTGGGAAACTTAATTAAGGAAACTTAATTAAGAGAATATTTCAATCCATTTTCAGAAAGATTCTGTTGTTTTTATGGGAAACTTAATTAAGGGAAATACTTAATTATGAGAAACTTAATTAAGGGAATATTTCAATCCTTTTTCAGAAAAAATTTTGTTACTTTTCTGAGAAACTTAATTAAGGGAAATACTTAATTGAGAGAAACTTAATTAAGAAAATTTTAATTAAAGGATAATTTAAAAGGATTTGTGGCTCAACCCACATTGGTGCATAAGAAACTCCATGATGTATTTTTTCCTAAGGGACTGTATATTCACCAAGGAGATTTGTTAGACATATGTGTTTCTCTTAAGGGGTCGGATACTCGCCAAGGTGAAAATTTGTTGGGTATATGCATTTCTCCTAAAGAGGCTGTATATTCGCCAAGGTGGAGATTTGTTAGTTATGACTCATATACCATAAATGCGACAGATGCTGGAGCAGAGCCCACAAGTGGAGTGGAGCGTAAGGATTTGTCCAATCAGGGGAGTTTCATTCTGTGGGTTGGGGGTGCGGGGGTGTTGACCTCATTTTTGGTTGAGGTCTAGAAAACTTCTTTAGTAGCCTAGGTCTAGCCATAGGACTTTCCTATTGACTAGTCTTAGAAAATTAGAAGAGGTACCCCACCATTAGAAATTCAAAACTCTTCTTTTTACTCAGCTTGAAATTCCACATATTGATCTTAACCTCTAGCATTTAGTAGGTAAGATCATTATAAGAGAATTCAAGAAGAGTCCCTATAGGATTACTTGGCTTTAGGGTCGACCCAGGGTGTTGACTTGGAACTAGGATACACCATATCTTCACAATATATTAATCCATGGTTCA